CATCTCAAAATCGAGTAGGATATTACCAAACCAACACCCTAAATTTTGGCATTTTGAGAATTTGAGGTAGGGATATCCTACTCCTCTCTAGGGTTTAGGGTTTAGGGTTTAGGGTTTAGGGTTTAGGGTTTAGGGTTTAGGGTTTAGGGTTTAGGGTTTAGGGTTTAGGGTTTAGGGTTTAGCTCTAGGTTCGTGGATCCGAACCCTTTCGAGTCCGAGTGCCTTGGATCTCTAGGCTTGCCTAATACCCTTTCGAGTCCGGGCCCGAGTAAGTCTCTAAGTTCGTGGATCCGAACCCTTTCGAGGCTTAGAGCCATTCAGCCCGTTTGATGGCGATAAATCCAAACCCACTAATCTTGGACTTGCAGTAAATTCGGGCCCACTAATCTTGGGCTATTGGGCCTAAATAATTTAGTGGGCTATTAAACGCGATACACTTTGTATCGAAAGAGTTTTATCAGTTTCAAGAAATTTACCTTTTGGGATTGGAAACTTGTAACCCTTTCGATTTCTTTATTGAAGATATATTTACGAAGTTGTTCCAATTTATTGATTGGCATTAACCCTAGATCCTTACCCCTGAGAAATGAATCAATACTTTCTACTCGAGCTTCATCGTGGACTATTTCCATTACAACCCAACAAAAAAAGAGGGGTTCTAGTGGGACAGAACAAATGATGTCGAGCCAAGAGCACCTTCATTCCTATATAAAATGGTGGATGTAAGAATCCACAACGGATCGTGTCCTTCAAGTCGCACGTTGCTTTCTACCACATCGTTTCAAACGAAGTTTTACCATAACATTTCTTTAATTTGTAGCCGGTATGGATATGGAATTGATTCAATTATGGAATCGTGAATAATCATTGGTTCAGTCAGTACATAGTAATCTAGACTTTTTTTCTTCTATATAGATGTTTTTCTGAAGAAGTCTTAGCAAGAATTCAACTTAACCCCCTATTTTAGTGTATAAATATTTTATTGTATAAATAGAAATGAATTTTATTTTATTTTATTAATAAAAATATATAAATAAATACCATAAAAATAATAAATAAGACGAATAAATGAGTTCTTTTTGAATATCTGCATCTTCACTTCAAGTAACTCAATAGGATAGATTCACCAATCTCACACTTCTTTAAGTATCAAAGATTCAACTCATAAGGAATCATTAAAAATATTTAATTTATAATTAAGTTTCCTACTTTGACATCATTATTTGAATAAAGTTTTACAGTAAGAACCGCATTTGATCATCATAAAAGAGAGAAATTTCTATTTCTTTTGGAATGGAATCATCAATGATTTAAAGCAGATAGATAGATCGAACAATAAATCAAATTTCTCTTTTTTCTCCTGAGATGAATAAATGAATAAAAAAGACTGATGTAAGGTAAGATTTAAGTCCTTATTCTTTCGATTCTGATTTTCTTAATTAGATGAAAGAATGGGGATTTATCAGATAGACTGAACAATTGTCACTCTTATAGATATTCTATGTTAAATATTTAAATTTTCAAATTTAAGAGATCCCATTTGTTTTTTCACAAAGAAAAACTACTGTCACTGAAATAGAGCGATAACAATATATACATACAGGCTATGCATTTCCTCATTTTATATACGTATTTTGGTATTTTGTTTGACTTGAGATTCCGTAATCTTTCTATAATCTTGTCATAAAGTGAAGTGAATAAAATGTATGAATCACCCCTATCTCAATCCTTACATAGATTTACAATTATTCATTAGAACCAAACATGAAATACCTAAAAATGAAGTTCAAATAAAATACATCGATTACATATGTAACTTGATTGTTTATTAATAAGATTCGGACAGATAAAGCCAAACAAGTATAGATTAAGTCTTTGCTCCCCTTTTTACCCTAACCCAGTCTTAAGAAAGAGATTGAATCCCCTTAATAGAATTCAATTATAGTACCAAGAACTCCCTCTTGGTTAGAAATTCAGAGATCCACAGAGAATTAATAATTGGACTACTTCATTTAAAGAATAGGGAATAAGAGATAGGAAATATAGGTTCTTTCGCATTTCGATTAAAAATGCATCGTTGAAAATTCAATATGGGACGGAAGGTTTTTCTAAGTAACTAACTTCCCTCAATATAAATATGAAGAGAATAAACATATGATGAAAAGCCCGCCCAATTATTTTTGAATTCAAATCCTTGTGCTCTATGTTCCTATCTTATCTGGATTATAAATAGATTCAGTTAAATCTGTGTGTCATTTGAACTCGATTCAATTCAAGTTTGTGAAAGAAAGATATGATTCAGAGAAGAATCATTAAAAAGCAGAAAGAAGAATCACATTCTATCCAATATTAGACCTTTAAAATTTAAAAAGAAAGTTGTTCAAAAAAGAATCTTTATTCTAATAGAATGGAATATGCTCTGGGACGGAAGGATTCGAACCTCCGAATAACGGGACCAAAACCGGGAACAACCTTAGAGTGATTCAGTCGATACAGAGGCTTGACTACTTCGATGGAAAGTTCTGAAAGAACAGATTAGATGTGATTACCAATCGGCTTACTACTGGTTGGCTTGACTTTGAGGTGAGGTACTTGTACTTCTTTTACATTTTCTGGTGGGTTTCCATTTCTTCCCCCTTTTTTGAATTATAGAGATTGTATACGCCTGCATAAAAAAAAAAAAAAGGCCGGGATAGATTCAGTGAAGCATTAGTACGCTCATGAACAAGCATAGCAATAAGCTCTGTCTTTGGTCCTT